ATGCAAGAACCGTGTTGTGTGAACACGCGTTAAGCGAGCACTTACCGTGCACATATATAATCGCGTGATGTATGTATGACACGTGGGCCAGAAACACCAAGACACTCGCAAAAGCGAAAACGGAACAAAGAAGTGAGAAGTGCACGTGAGTGAGACCCATGGGGGAGAGGTGCATGCTGGGACAGAAGAGCAGGCAATTAATTGGAGGGACGCGCGCAAATTAGAAACATCATATTGGCTTGAATAAAATGATGTTGTCTGCCACTTAAGAAATATCTATTTCTTAGGTCAACAGGCTTTGCTTGGGAAATAAACTTCTGATTCAGGTCCTGAAGTGCGTGGGTGAGTGCGGTTATATGTAGAAGTGTGGGTGGGTGATTGGTTGAGTGGGTGGATGAGTGAATGAGTGAGTTTGTGTGTGAGTGGACGAGTGTGTGATTGAGTGGGTGAGTGAGTGGACAAGCGAGTGAATGAGTGTGCGGGTGAGTGAGTGAGCGTGTGAGTGAGTGTATGGGTGAGTAAGTGTGTGAGTAGGCCAGCGAGTAGTGTGTGTTGGTGGGTGTATAATTGCGGAATGCTTTGGTGTTGTCTGCCGGCCGAGCGAGTGACCACCACCCCCCCCCCCCCCCCCCCCCTTGAAAAATAACTGCTTCGCTCAATATAGGATGGACAACAGGAAAATGTAAAGTGTGTAGTTGTTCGCCACAATGGAAGCAACGGGAACGAGAGTAAGACCTTACAGAGAATGGCTTGACGACGAAGTAAGGGATTGGTGCCAGAAAGATGTGGCCGCTACTTTTGAGCATATTGGCACGAGACGGAGAAAGGATGCAGACAAATGACGATATGTGCAGTAGGACACCTACGGACTATCTCGCCCATGGACCGTTACGATGACGATGATGATGCTCTCAATGAGCTGTACTCTGGAAAGACACCTTATTCTCATTCTGTCAAGTGGACGCGGGCACGACGCGTCCCGTAACAGCGGGCGATGGTCGGCGGTCCGAGGCTAAACACGGAACGTAGCGCGCCCTTTCCAGGCGATGATGCAGCGCTAAGTTCGCGCGCGTGCGCCGAGACGAATCAACGTTTGCGTCGCCTGAGAGGCCCCTTCATCCAGCAGTGGATAGACCACACGGCCAATGTTGACCGTCATCCTTGCTGAAAAGTGCGGTCACGTGGGAGTGTTGGTCGCTGCTAAGTTAATTTACTTGCGGTTTATAAACCGAACCGATTCAAATGGGGGGGGGGGGGGGGGGGGGGGGGGGGTGGGTAGGGTAGGGGTCTGTCGCAATACGTTTAAATAAAGGCCTGCAATCGAACTCTCTATTTTATCAAACCACAACAAATGTCGGTGATGCTGCTGCTGGCAGTAGTGCACAGCGCAACGAACAATTAACAACAACTCAACACACGTTCATCAATATCACCGTGTCATCAACATTTTATAATTAAACATTTTTCATGTAAAAGCGTTTCTTCAGCCGTCACGCTTTCGCGATTACTGAGCAGGTTGTCTATCACCTAATAGCTACGATTCCGGTAGCTATTCGCATATCGCCTATTTAATCGGGAGAAAAAAAATACGTAAAAATAATTGTGATATTAATCAAGTGCTGTCTCCAACTTGCATCGTTCACTCTGTGTCTCTGCTGACTCTCCTTTGACGTGCTATGAAGCAGGGCCATTACCCGAAACGTCGCCAATTATATGTTTCATTGATTGTAAGGTCACACAGTGTTATTGAAGAATGTGTTTGAGTTTGTTTTTTAACCCACTCTTTTAGTTTCTTTTCGTGAAATCACACCACAGCATTACAGTATTATGTACACATGTGCTCGGTCAATATTTAAAGTCGCGAAGATGAATTTTAGAAGACAAAATCACGTCCGTTGCAATGCTATACATTCACACACACGCACGCACACACACACACGTGTTCACGAACGTGAAATAGTTACACTATTTATAGATGCAGATGTAAACACGCTCACACCTGTTCATTACGCCGGGTCCCAAACCCCCCCCAGAGCGATTCGGCAACGCGCATCTTAAATCACCTCTTTTTGAAATCACGCAACTCAATCAATCGTCGCCCGCCGAACTGCTTTGCCCACGTCCGAGCGAACAGTTGCGCAACAAGGGCATTTAAACGGCGACGTTCAGGATTGCGTAACGACAAATCGAGAGTGTCAGGCGCATTTGCAACCAATTCGCCGGGCGCATCGATGCTTGAAAGCTGAGTCTGTTAACCGCTCGCGCAAGTCGCTCGCAACTGGTCGCGCAAGTCGCTCGCAACCGGCCGCGCAAGTCGCTCGCAACCGGCCGCGGAGACGTGCCAATCTTGCTGGGCGGTAGTGGCTGTGATGCACGTGGCTTGCAATCCAGCGCTAGGTGAAGCAGTGGAGGATTTGTGGATCACCGCAATAAAAATGTTGTGATCCCCCCCCCCATCCCATCTCATCCCCCTTCATGTTGGGGCGTCGACGAGGTGCTGTACCCTGGCTCGCCAGGAGGAGGCGGTGCAGCGATGTGCAGACTACTCTCCATCTCTCCCCTCTGTGTGGGATAGAGTTGGTTGCCCTATCGCACGCAAGGTGTTCCGGCTTCATTCTCATATGTATAAACACTCGTTTAATGGGTGAACACATTGTATATGTGTGTGTGTATGTAGAGGACAGCAGAGCTTGGGAAATAGTTGGTCACGCCGGTTTCACCGCCTGGCTACTGCTGCTGTTACATGATGCCATGTACTAGCATCAATAAACTGAACATTTATTGATGCTATTACTCATGGCGCAATGCAGTTGCATGCAACCACAGTCGCTCAACTGATCGCTCAGGTGTGGGCGACCCCCACACATCGATGATGTTGTTGTGGGGATTTTTTTGTTCTACTCCACTCCCCAATGGCAACGCGCGGGGGAGGGGGGGGCTCGAGGAACGAAATTAATGAATTCACGAGTGGGGGGAGGGGGTACAATGAACGAAATTAATGAATTCACGAGCGAGGTGGCGGGCGGGCGGACGGAGGGGCACCGTGCACTTCCTACGCCGCCGCCGTTTAGTGATGTCAAACACACGGATCGATGATGATGATGGTGATGATGATGGTAGTGATGGTGGTGATGATGCGTACTGGTCCCGCACATTCCTCCAGCTCATCGTTCTCTCTCTCTCTCTCGCTCTGTATCTCCACCTCCTCTTACGCCCTCCACCAACCAAACGAACTCGCCGACTCGCCAATAAAGCAGCCACACGTCCACACAGCGGTGCCAAGCGGACAGTCAATCAGCCAGCCGGCCTGCCAGTCAATCAGTCAGGCAACCAACCAGGCAACCAACCAAACAGCCAAACGCGCACAGCCAACCAACGACACTATAAGCTAACCAGCCATCCAGCCTGTAGTCTGTTCACCATCCCAACCAGTCAAACAAACCAGTGAGTCAGTTTAGCGGCAGACAATGAATCAACCAACCAGCCATTACGGCCAACCGATTTGTCAACCAAATAACTCAGCAGCCTACCGTCTAATCAACCAAGCAGCCCGCTTCTTAACGAGACAGTCTTCAATTGTCAATGTACTTCGCCCCGAAACGAAACAAAGCAATGAACCAGCAAAATAAATATAACCCGAACCCCACCAAACCGACCATCACAGCACCACCACCACCACCACAGACGATCGTTGCCGCGACACTGAAGCGGTCGGGGTTTCTGTTTTAATGATTCGTGCGGAGCTTCAGTTCAGTGGAGCAGTCGTGGTGAGTGTGGGAGAGGTGGGGCGCAGGGGTGTGTGTGAGTCTGTGTGTGGGTGTGTCTGTGTGTGTGTCTGTGTGTGTGTCTCTGCGTGTGGGTCTGCGTGTGGGTGTGTCTGTGTGTGGGTGTGTGTGTCTGTGTGTGTGTGTCTGCGTGTGGGTGTGTCTGTGTGTGGGTGTGTGTGTGTGTGTCTGTATGCGGTTGTGTCTTTGTGTGGGTGTGTCTGTGTGTGGGTGTGTCTGTGTGTGGGTGTGTCTGTGTTTGGGTGGGTGGGTGGGTGTGTGTGTGGGTGTCTGTCTGTGGGTGTGTGTGGGTGTGTCTGTGTGTGTGGGTGTGTGTGAGTTGGTGTGTCTGTATGTGGATGTGTGTGTGGGTGTGTGGGTGGGTGTGTGTGGGTGTGTGTGGGTGTGTCTGTGTGGTTGTGTCTGTGTGTGGGTGTGTGTGTGTGGATGTGTGGGTGTGTGTGTGGATGTGTGTGTGTGAGTGTGTGAATGTGTGTGGTTGTGTGTGAGTGTGTGTGGATATGTGTGTGTGAGTTTGTGTGGGTGTGTGTGAGTGTGTGTGAGTGTGTGTGGGTGTGTGTGGATGTGTGTGTGTGAGTGTGTGTGAGTGTGTGTGAGTGTGCGTGTGGTGTGTGTGGATGTGTGTGTGTGTGAGTGTGTGTGGGTGTGTGAATGTGTGTGGATTTGTGTGAGTGTGTGTGTGTCAGTGTGTGTCAGTGTGTGTGGATGTGTGTGTGTGTGTCAGTGTGTGTGAGTGTGTGTGGATGTGTGTGTGTGAGTGTGTGTCAGTGTGTGTGAGTGTGTGTGGATGCGTGTGTGTGGGTGTGTGTGGGTGGGGGTGTGGGTGTGGGTGTGTTTGTGTGTGTGAGGGTGTGTGGGTGTGGGTGTGTTTGTGTGGGTGTGTGTGTGTGTAAGTGTGTGTGGGTTTGTGTGGATGTGTGAGTGTGTGTGGGTGTGTGTGAGTGTGTGAGTGTGTGTGGGTGTGTGTGGATGTGAATGTGTGTGGGTGTGTGTGAGTGTGTGTGTGGATGTGTGTGTGGATGTGTGTGTGTGGGTGTGTGTGTGTGTGTGAGTGTGTGTGGATGTGTGTGTGGATGTGTGTGTGGATGTGTGTGTGGGGGTGTGTGTGAGTGTGTGTGGGTGTGTGTGGGTGTGTGTGTGTGTATGTGAGTGTGTGTGAGTGTGTGTGAGTGTGTGTGGATGTGTGTGGGTGTGAGTGTGTGTGGGTATGTGTGAGTGTGTGTAGGTGTGTGTGTGTGTGGGTTGGGGGGAGGGGCGGCTGTGTTGGTAGTACGTGGGGGGGTGGGGCCTTCACTGAAGGTCCGGTGAAGACGAAGGCTGCCGTGGAGACGGCGACCCGACCCCACCTCCGGCGCTCTGACACACGTACCACTCATTCATGTTAGCGGCACGAGCAGCGTGCTGGGGCTGCGGTTGCGCCAGCGAATGCAGCTGGCGCTGGAGACTCAGCTCCTGCTGCTTGTGCGCGTGCAGCACTCGCCCAAGCAGCGAGTGCTGCTGCTGCTGCTGATGGTCTTGGTGGTGGTGGTGGTGGTTACGGCCACCGCCACCACCACCACCACCACCATCGCCACCGCCGCCACCAGACGTGCCCTTGGGAGGACTGGAGGGCTCCGTGTCGCTGCAGTGTCCCGAGGGCCGGCAGTGAACCTTCATGTGCTTGCGCAGCGAGCTGGGGTGCGTGTACGACTTGCCGCAGCCGCGCACACGGCACAGGTAGGGCTTGTCCGACGTGTGCACGTGCATGTGCTTCTTGCGGTCGCTGCTGTTGGCGAAGCGGCGGTCGCAGCCCTCCACCTCGCACTTGAACGGCTTCTCGCCTGCGTCGGTGGGGGGGGGGGGCGGGGCGGGCGGGGGGCGGGCGGGGGGTGCACGGGGAGGTGAGGAAGGGAGGTGAGGGAGGTGAGGGAGGGAGGTGAGGAAGGGAGGGAGGTGAGGAAGGGAGGTGAGGGAGGTGAGGGAGGGAGGTGAGGGAGGGAGGTGAGGGAGGGAGGTGAGGGAGGGAGGTGAGGGAGGTGAGGGAGGGAGGTGAGGGAGGGAGGTGAGGGAGGTGAGGGAGGTGAGGGAGGTGAGGGAAGTGAGGGAGGTGAGGGAGGGAGGTGAGGGAGGGCTAGGTGTTGAAAGCGTGGGGGGCCACGTGGCCCCACCTGTGCAGTTGCACCGCCTGTGCACAATCTATTGTGACGTCACTGGGCCAACCCATGCATCGTCAGTCTGCGACGATTGTGACGTCTCTCCTCTCCTTACTTCCTCTCAACGAAGCGCCGACCAATTTGGCGGCGTTCAGGGCATCAAGCAAACCGAGCTCGCACTGCCACGAATTGTGGTGGTGGTGGTGGTGCTTTGGCAGCGGTGCAAAGGTACAGTCAACAACAACGGCATTCAACGCGTTCGTCAATAACAACAACATCAACGTGTGGCCTTGAAAGGAAAAGATTATAACCATTGCCCTTCTTAGCACGCAAATGCAGAGGACGCGTGCTTTGAAGAATGCTCTTTGCCCGAAATGTCACCTATCATATATATTGTTTTCCTTTAAAGGAAGCCAATGCATTACTGTATAGAACTTTAAGGGGGGGGGGGGGGGGAGCATAGCATACCGTAGAATATAGACAATTCTAAAAGATAGACACTCATAGTATGTGTAATATCGCATTACAACTCCAATTAATATGAGCATGTGACTCGCTGCAGTTGTACCGATGGACATGCATGCACAAAGCATCCACACACCTACACAGACAATTACATACCGACATAGAAGATCATACAATTAAAGACAAAGATCTCCCGTGTAGTCTGTAACAGACTGTAGGGGGAAGTGCTGTTAGCGAGCACCTGTAAAGGCCGGCACGGTACACCCGGCCGCCTTTGTCTCCCTAGCGGCGATGTTCACACATCGCACCAGGTACTCATTTGAGGCTGAGTCGACCTAGGGGAGGCCCAGGACCGTTTCAGATAATCGTCACTGGTGTTTTCCGTGAACACACACACCCACGGTATCACACACACAGACCCATTACAAATACAGTCACACAATCACAGAGTCACACATGAAATCACCCAATAATGTACCCACAATCACACAAAAACAGACACGAACCCACATAATCGTACAATCGCCCGCACGCATCCACAACGAGACATATAACCACACAGCCGCGTACACAATCACACACACACACATCTACACAACTATACACAAATGCAAAAAGCCACCACAATCACACACACACACAAATACACACACACAGCCACGTACACAATCACACATACGCACCTGCACAGCTATACACAAATAGATACACACATACAATTTAACGTTGACACACCTATACAAAGGCAAAGATCTCCGTGTAGCCTTCAAAAGGCTATTCGGGCAAGCGCTGTTAACGAGCCTCTCTGCCTAATGCCAGAATAGGCGCACGACTGGCTAGCGTGACCAGAACCACACCCGGCCGCCTTTGTCTCCCCCGTACTGATATTTATACACGGCAATAACAGTTAGTCGCCACTGATGTTAGCTGTGACCAGGGATCGAACTCGGCTCGCCGGGGTTCAAACTGATCCACTGCACCGCTCCCAAACGTCACCCCCAACCAACCAACCACACACACACGTATCGTAATTATTACGGTACTTAAATACATTAAGCGGTTCATAGCAAGTGGTAACCCAAAAAAATGTGTAACGAATGTTTAATTTGAAAGTGTTGGGTTCGTATCGCAACGAGTTGACCTTTACGCCGTCAAATAAGCACATAAACAAAGACAAATATCCCCGTGTAGCCTGTAACAGACTGTAGGGGCAAGTGCTGTTAGCGAGCACCTATGAAGGCCGGCACGGCACACGAGGGGTTGGGTGGCCAACACCACGCCCGGCCGCCTTTGTCTCCCTCGTGGCGATGTTTACGCATCGCACCAGGTACTCATTTGAGGCTGAGTCGACCTAGGGGAGGCCCAGGACCGGTTCTGATAATCGTCACCACCGGTGTTGGCCGTGAGCGGGAATCGAACCCGGGTGGCCGCCAGGTTCGTAGCGCAGCGCGCTAACCGCTACATCCCCAAACAGACACACACACAATCAGCCACACACACACACACCCATTTACCACAATCACACGTGCAATCACGCGGAGTCACGTAAAAGACAAAGATACCCCGTATAGCCTTCAGAGACTTTTGGGGCAGGTGCTGCGAGTAGCCTCATAGACAAAGATCCCCCGTATAGCTTTAACAGACTGTAGGGGCAAGTGCTGTTAGCGAGCACCTATGAAGGCCGACACGGCACACGACGGGGTGGGTAGCCAACACCACGCCCGACCGCCTTTGTCTCCCCCAGTGGTGATGTCTACTGCACACCGCGCTAAACACTCATTCGAGACTGAGTCGACCTAGGGGAGGCCCACCACTGGTTCAAATAATCATCACTGGTGTTGGCCGTGAGCGGGAATCGAACTCGTGTCTGTATGTGCATGCGTGTGATATAATATCACACACTGTGACACACACACACGCAAATACACAATCTCAAAAGCACACGCTTGTACATACAGACACACAACCACACACAGAGACGCACAATGAGACAAGCCACACACAATAACACGCACAGAGCCAAATGCCCAATCATACTATTAAACACATACAGCACGAAGACAATCACACGCATAACCGTACAGGCAATCACACTGTCAGACACCCAAAAATGTAGCCACACACGTACCCAAGCGTATACAAACACACACACAAGCATACGCAGCCACACAATCAGAGCGCCACACCGAATCGTGCACAGACATACACACAATCGTAAAACACACGCAACACAATTGCTCAGACACACGCCACAAAAGACACGTCAACACATGGTGTATTTGAGGCACGGCGGTGGTTAGCGAGCAGCTATTATGGTTGGAGGGAAGATGGTGCGTTGTTTTGTTTTTCCTGGCTAAAACGCACCATCATCATGAAGAGATATTTGAACCTCGCCTGGGCCACCCTTACGTCGACTCAGCCATAAATGTTTTTTTTGTTTTGTTAAAATCGACACGGTGTGTGAATTGTAAAACAACGAAGCAACGCTATCGTGCCTTTGTTGTTTTGTGACTTCGCGTTGCCTGCGGTGTACAAGCACAATTAATAACGCTCAACCCATTCGTCAATCACACTGTGGCCTTTAAATAAAAATAAATAAAAATAGGCGACGTTTCGGGAAAAGGCCATTCATTGATGCGCCAGGAAGTATGACCATTACCCTAAACGTCACCTCTGATACGATGCTTTTCTTTCAAGAAGGCCACGGTGTTATTCACTAATGCGTGTCATTGTTTTCATTCTACATATACAGTAATTATACACACGTATAGATACAGAATCGAGTTCTGCTTATACAACGGGACTTTCGTTACAATTGCAAGAAAGCTGTTGCTCAAGACGGTCGCCTCTCTCTTAACTGGCGTTTTAAAAAATAAATTTAAAAAAATCCTGAAGTTGCCCTGCCCCCCCCCCCCAAAAAAAAAAACCAGCCGAATTAATTTAAATCGTTAATTAAAAATATTAGTGGGACTTGAACAACGTTGGACTTCGAGGGGACGTTACACGTGACTCCGTTACAACGTGACACCACCAGGGTGTGACATCAATTCACGAGTTGTTGATGTTGTTGTTGTTGATGTGATTGTTGTTAATGTTGCGGAGTGATGCTCATGTGAGATAAACTATTGAAACTATAAACTGTCTTTTTGTCGTGTACCACGTAAGGCCCACTGAGGAATATAGCTCTTATTCAGAAGTGACCCGGCTACCGGAAATGACAGCTCAACGAAGTGGCTTATCATCATCACGTGCAAATTGATCACAGCCAAAGACTCTAAACGCGTGACGTTGATTCTAAATGTGGAGGCCAAAAACCGCAGGACCCGAAGAAAAATCCACGCGATCACGGGGGAGAGAGAGAGAGAGAGACACGTAAACTCCAAATATACAGCAGCAGGCGTCAGGATCAGGATCAAACCCACGACCTCCTGTACACCACGCGAGGTAGTTAACATCTCTCCACCGTGGCGCCCCTGTCATTGTCTGTGTGTAATCGCCGAGATGCCTCGCCTCGATCGTCCCTTGCTCCCAGTTTTCTGGTGATTCCCGCCGCTGTTGTCGCTGCTGCGTCTTGTTTGGCAGTCAGCAAGTGAGTGGCGCACAAAGCACAATTACCAAAACAACAACAACAACAACAACATCCCAGCACGTTCGTCAATAACACCGTTACCTTAAGAGGAAATTGCACGTACATACAAGGCAACGTTTTGGGAAATGTTCCCTGCTTTTTATGTGCTTTGAACAAGGACCATTGCCTGAGTTGTCGCCTATTTATACGCCTCCTTGTCGAGGCCACGGTGTTATTGACGAATGTGTCGAGCGTGTGTGTTTGTTTCTCCTTCAATTTTGACGCCGTGCGCCTCCCCACCCCCCACCCCCCCCCACTCCGTGCGTGACAGACTGAACGCGCTCGCGTGTCCGGCAGCGTCTCGACGCGGCCACCTTCCAGCGCAGCAGCCCCCCACGAGCGGAGGGAAAGTCGCCCACCGGACCTCGAGATCGATGAGCCTCTGGCCACCAGCTTGGAGCGGTGTGTGTGAGAATCGCAACTAATGACCGGTACTAACTCGCGCCGGCCTTCATAGGTGCTCGCTAACAGCACTTGCCCCAACAGTCTGTTAATGCTACACGAGGGATCTTTGTCTCTTGTGTTCGGGTTTTACGTGGTGCAGTTGCGCGGTGCTTAACGCACTGCACTCTGAACCTACACTCTTGGGTTTGAC